CCCAACATGGTGGCCACCAAACTGGCCACCTTACTGGGCCTCAGGCGTAATCCATATGAGCATGATTTTTAAGTCATCCCCTCCACTCAAGATTAAGGATTGTCAATCCAGTGACCCAACGAAGGCACTCTACAGGGCTTCCGTACAACTCACACTCGTTTGCTCACCAAGAAGAATGTTTTCTTGGGGCTGAGGACAGAGCAAGGTGGGCTTGACAGCTGCACTGTTCCGACTCTGGGAAGGAGCCTGACAGACAGAGCCCAGGAAGAGCTCTAGGCCAAAATGAAGGCCCACTGTTTTTCGGAACATCACCTGGAAAAAAGAGGAGTGACAGGGCTTCTAAAGGACCCCATCTTGTTCATATCAGACCTGAATTCGAAGGGGAACTTGTTCGTTTATGCGCCAATGACCACTTCCAAAACCAGGAAAGGAGAGAATGAATGAAACAACATGACCAAACAAACAAATAATAGGAATCACATAAAAAAAATCCATCAATGGAAATGGAGGCAGTATGATTCCACATCACCAACATAAAAATGACCAGCAACAGGATTCTCACCACACACACCCTTAGGGTTTGCAAGAAAGCTGAAGAGGAGCCATACTGCTCATGCCTGGGCGTGGTCCCCTTGGACTCAGGAATCTGGCGCGATTCCTACACGGACCATGACATTGAGCATCCATTCAGGTGAAGGTAGAGGAGGTTAGGCGCTCAAGCCATGCACATGTCACATGACACTGTCACGGGACCCCACGAAAGGGCACTGAGCCCCCTTTCAGTCCGATTCCTTTCAGAGAGGAGGGACATCTTTGGCTTTGGGTCGGCCCGATCCCAAGGACTTAGAGTCACCAATTATATAGCACCAGGGTCTCTCTTGCCCAAAGAGAGCCCCCTGCTCATTTTCATGCACACCTGCTCTCTGTCCAACACAAAAGTCAGCCACTCACCTGAGACGTGAAGGCCACGACCACCATCTGGAGAGATGGTCGCACTGCAAGACACAACCAGAGGAGAAACGTTTTGTTTTAAGAGTTGGCCTCTGGTACCGCCATCTTGGAGGTCCTACTGGGCACCAAAAACACCGCTGAACGTGGAGAAGGCTACGATCACGTGGAAGCGATCGGGGAGAGCCACGGGGCATCCTCTGAGGAATCTGCCTACCTCCAGCTCCCAATCCCCACGCTGGGGAGAATCCTAAGACTCCCCAGCACGGTGCCACCAATCTGTCACCCACAGTGGGCCTCAGCGTAATCCTATTGAGCAGGATTTTTATGTCATCACCTCTCTTCAAGGCCCAGACCGCGTAGACATCATTGACCCAGAGTCAGCCCTTCGCGCACAGAGGAACCAGGGCACACTCATATGCTCACCAGTGATGTTTCCTGGAACTAAGGACATAGCAAGGTGGGCTGGAGAGCTGCACACTGCTTCCCACTCTGGAAGGAGCCTGACAGACACAGGAAGCTCTGGGCCCATGGAAACGCTTTTTTTCCCGAACATGACCTGGACAAAGAGGAGTGGGACGGCCGCTAAAGGACCTCTCTCTTCCCTCTCGGAACTGAACATAAAGCACCATGGCAATTGATGTGCAAATGATCACGCCCAAAAGCAACAAATGAAAGAGGAAAGGAATACATCCGAAAAGCAGGAAATGCACCAATGGAAAGCAAGGCACTACCGATTCCACGCGGACACAAACCACCGGCCACAGGATTCTCACTATTCACACACGCAGCGTTTGCCAAGGAAGCTGAGCAGAAACCCTACTGCTCACTCCTGGGCATGGTCCTCTTGGACACAACCGCCTCGTGATATGCTAACACGGACCATGACATTGAGCATTCATTCAGGAGAGGGTAGAGGAGGTTAGGCGCTCAAGCCATGCACATGTCACATGACAATGGCTAAAACATCTTCCCCCCTAACCCCCCGCAAAAAAAAAGGAGCTCTGAGACCACTTTCAGACCGATAACTTGCAGAGAGGAGGGACAACTTTGGTTCTGGGTCGGCCCATTCCCAAGGGCTTAGAGTCACCAAGAATAGAGCACCAGGGTCTCTCTTGCCCAAAGAGAGCCTCCTGCTAACTCTCATGCACACGAGCTCTCTGTGCAACACAAAAGTCAGCCACTCACCTGAAACGTGAAGGCCACGACCACCATCTGGAGAGACGGTCGAACTGCAAGACACAACCAGAGGAGAGATCTGCTTTAAGAGCTGGCCTCTGGCGTGGCTCTCAGTGCAGAACTACTGTGCACCAAACACAACCGTGAACTTGGAGGACGCCATGTTCACGTAGCGGTGATCGTGGGGAGGCACGTGGCAACCTCTCAAGGATCTGCCCGCCTCGAGAACCCAATCCCATCGCTGGGGAGAAACCTAAGACTCCCCAACATGGTGCCACCAAACTGGCACCTTACTGGGCCTCAGCGTAATCCTATTGAGCATGATTTTTAAGTCATCACCTCACTTCAAGATTAAGGGTTGTCATCATTGACCCAACGAAGGCACTCTGCGGGCATCCGTACAACTGCACACTCGTTTGCTCACCAGAGATGTATCCTGGGGCTGAGGACAGAGCAAGGTGGGCTTGACAGCTGCACTGTTCCGACTCTGGAAGGAGCCTGACAGACAGAGCCCAGGAGAGCTCTAGGCCAAATGAAGGCCACTGTTTTCGGAACATGACCTGGAAAAAGAGGAGTGACAGGGCTTCTAAAGGACCCATCTTGTTCATATCAGACCTGAATTCGAAGGGAACTTGTTCGTTTATGCGCCAATGACCACTTCCAAAACCAGGAAAGGAGAGAATGAATGAAACAATATGAACAAATAAAGAAATAATAGGAATCACATAAAAAAAATCCATCAATGGAAATGGAGGCAGTATGATTCCACATCACCAACATAAAATAACCCGCAACCCGAATTTTCGCACCCCCCACCTTTGGGTTTGCCAGAAACTCTAGAGGAGACATACTGCTCATGCCTGGGCGTGGTCCCCTTGGACACAGGAATCTGG